TTGGTGTTAGTATAAGTAAGGCTGAGGGCTTATTTTATAAACTATATTATATGAAAAATAAAATGAATATTGTCAATTAATGAAATACTATAATATATATTTATAATTACATGAATATAATGTCAATACAATTAATGAATATTTTTTTATAATTTCAAAAACTAGACACCTATTGAAAACCTTTTTTTTTAGTCGCCATTAATATATGGCTTCATTATTTAATTATTCTGTAAGCATTTCTAAAATAGTATATTTTTTGAAATACCTACTTCGCTGTATTAAAATTAAATTTTGGATGAATAGTTTAATATGTATGGCTTGTTATAAGTAGAGCCCAGATTTAAATTTACAAAAGACAATCCACAAATGCTCTAAAAATCGCGAAAATGCGCAAAAAAATATGCATTTTAACCGCAATAAAGTTCTAAAAAATTRATCAAAAATTGTTTGAACAATTCTTAAATCAATAAAAATACGAACATAAAAAACATGATTATGAAATAACAATCGTCTAATTAGTTATTTGTTACTGGTTACTGGTTTGAGTACTACTGGACGTATCACGCACATAACAATATTTATGACGGCCGTTTAACAATTAAACTAAAATCTACAACAGTGTAGATTAATATGTTACCGACATATCAATACTATAAATTGTACAATTAAGATGCAATATTTAAATTATTAAATTATAAATATTWTAATGTTGTGGAATACATAGCGGCTYKGTTAAATCACAGAATATATGAAATATATTTCATATATTCTGTGGTTAAATACTAAATAGTCAAGTGGGGTGGGTCGTGACTTCGTGAGTTGTGACTTGTGGGTGCGTACCACATGAGTATTTATTTTTTATTTGGAAACAATATAAATATAGAAAACTAGTTGAACTAGACAAGTTATAAAATATGTTATACCTAGTACCTAATTTGTATGTAAAATGTAAATATACATATATTTATACATTATAATATTATATATAGATATCTCTTATCAATTATTTCTTGACTTCAGTCTTCACTGTCTTTAGTGTTCAGTACTTCAGTCTGAATTATAGACATATAAAATATATTGTTTTATATTATATGTCTATGGTCTGAATTCAACATGTCATAAATCATAATTCATGCTGTTTATAGACACAATTACATTGAAGATTGAAGCAATACTTTCATACTCAATGCATAGAATAACGTTAATGTAGTTCGAAAATAAATAGTGTATAATTACTACTGGATTATTGTATTATTATCAGCAAAATTATGTATTTAATGAATTTAAATTTCTCAGATAATAATTGATGTTAATATTGTTTAAAGATTATACCTATTTTTTTCTTCTACAAAATGAGATTTAATGAATGAATTTGATGTAGGTWATCAATCAGTTATATAAGGATACAAGATGTATTTATATGTTTAATTTGTATTTACTTTCCTTGAATTGGAAATGTCTTCTTCAGATATTGGTAAGTACACCTATTATAGTATTATATACTTTTTAAATATATACCTAGTAAATTGTTATTATTGTAGATTTCATGCTATGTACTATATACACACTAAATTATCTGTGGAATGATAAAATACATTTAATTAATTTTAAATTATTGTTATGTCAAAGTATCTTTAGATGACAACAATATAGTGATAAATGATTTACCGAATGATACAGAAGCAGCCATAAGGTATATCAAAACATTGTTACCAGCTACTTTTAAATATCCACCAATTGTATTTATTCGTCAACTATATGATATAGTACATAATAAAACATTGATAAATAAAGAGCTGGTTGGTAAATATCTTTTGCATTCTTTGTTCATTTATAGAAATGAATCATTTCAATTTTATGCTTAGGAGATATTAAGAAAACAGTGCAAGATACAAAAACTCACAATTGGAACTACTGATTCTTCTTCAGCCTTAATATTATATGAAGATTATGTTAACTACACATTAAATATTTATCCAGAAAATCGTAGTGTCAAAAAATTTTTAAACGTTATTTTACCTTCTATAAAATCATTTGGAGTGGAAAAATGTATGTTACTGCAAAAATTTAAATTGCAGCAATATGAATTGACGTAATTAATTACATTAACTGTYTGTTTTGTTATCTTGGTTATAAATGATTAAGGATTTATATTTATTTTTAGGGAATTGATCAACTGTGGACTTTTATTGATTAGAAATCAAGAAAGTTATTGGATTTCTTTTCCATCATCTGGTAACTTTATAAAACGTTACATTGAAGGTCGAAAATATATCATTCAAATAATCAAACGTAGAAAATTTCAAGAAATATTAGAACATGTAAGTTATTTTAAATTGTTAGTATGTACTATGTATTATTAATTAATAATTACCAATCTATTCTGTGCTATTATTTTAATTCACAGAGTAATGGATTCCATATCCTACTCATTTAAAATAAAATTTGTATTTCACATGTGCTTTGCTAGGTGTTTCACAAGCATTTGATAGGATGACTTAAATTTAAAAAAATTTTGGATCCCAAATATTTATTAATAAATACTCTTATCTGTTAAATTGCTATTTTCAAATTAAATTTAGTATTGAAATCTAAGCTATATCCAATATTTCAACAGATTTTCTTCAAGGAAGAATACTCATCTGTACTTCAAACATATTATATGCCACTGATCAACATTCCACTCTAAACATCATAGTTGCTAACTACAAAGATAACAATGCCATAAATTCCATAACTTCTGAAACAGTTTAACTTCATTTAATCTTAAAAATCACTTTTTACACCTAATCTATGGGGTAATGTAAAAAAAATCAATTAAATTCAAACGTTACAAAATATAGCACTTAGAAATTTAACCTCACAATAAATTCAGATCTCCATATGTAATCTATTCTAGAAGAAGCAAAACTATTTAATTAATGTCCCATACCATTTTAACCACCCAACTGAGCCAACTTGTAAAAAATCTAGYTATCCACTAATACGCCTTAAATGCAATTGGTGTTGTGATTTTCTAGAAATATGACTTAAAAACCAATACTCCCAMAAGAAAACTTTCAACTTAAATCTAAAATAGGTACTGCCATGAGTGGGTATTTCTGTTAACCAATGTGCAATGTACATAAATTTAATTACTCTTAATTTAATTAACCAATTTTCCTATAAACAGACAGTTTTTTTTATGTACATGTTTTATGTATATTAATTAATTGTTTGGATTTTATATTAATGCAATTTCAACAATATTTAAATTAATAAAATCTTTTTTTGATCACATGATTTATAACACAAATCATAAAATAGTGGGTTACTAAAGTAATTTCATTTTGTGAAGTAAAATATATAAAAATTAACTACGATAACTATTCATCCATTTTTATGTACAAATTTTAGTGTTATAAAAAGTATAAAAACATAATGACACATCTTTTTCAGCAACATAATACCTATTCACAGACCAACAATAATTGGTTCTGTGCACTCCCACATGACTCCCTGCCATATTCCCGTAAGTAGAGTGTCCTACCGATATGCATAAAAGTGGTTTGTTCTCTCACTGGACAGAATATACAATTTATATTTAGAATTTCCTTAATTTATATTTAAATAAATATTTGTTGGGATTGAGTGATAAAGTCAACTTGTCAAAATCATTTATTTTTTATATAATTTAGTCATATTCAGTCAGTGGAATATTTTGGGTGATTTCTCGGGGGTTGTCCAACATTTAATGATTATACATTACTGAAATAAAATAATAAATTATGAAATAAATTCAGTATTTCTAAAAATCATTATCTACTGAATAAGTATAATAATAATTAATATTAATATAATTTGGATTAAAATTTACGTTAAACATTCCCATAGTGACTTATAATTAAGATTAGCAGATTTTTTTTTTACATACCCAGAATTAAATCAAAACTTATTTTRAAATGTCTAAACTAAATTTTTAAGTTAGTGAATCAATTATGTTTTGAACAGAATGAAGCATTATAGTTGWGGTTGTCGTCACTGTTTATCTACTTTTTTAGAAAACGTTAAATTTATTTAAATGTTAACTTTTATGTAACACAGCAAGAAAATTTTAATTTATGATTAATTTTATATTTTATAATTAAAATTAATTTTAATATATAATAAAATAACTAATTGTTAATTTTATTTAATATTAACTAATAATGAACTATGGCAAACATTGCACATACTACTAATAAAATTTCCACACTATACTAATAATTAATAATAAAAGTATAAAACACATTTAAGGGTTTCAACTTCCTTAGATTAGTTTAGGCAAAGGAACGGAATTTATTCTGACATCTTAAAGTTTTCAATTTATTGAAGTTCCACTATAGATCTATTTATATAAATAACTGATTACTTATATCAGTCATTGCATATCTATTAAAGTATTTTTTAATTGTTATATTTTTATAAGAATTATTAAAAATCTGTATTCCAAAAATATTCTCAAACCAGAGATATTCATATGCCCAGAGATAACATAATATTAGGATACGAAACTTGAAAACTAGTAGAGTCCTAGTAAACCCAAAACATATAGCACTCCTATCTATAAACTAATTCTATGTTTTCTTAAGGAAATTGTTTTACAAATATCTTAAATTGATTTAGGAAGTTTTTTCCTTCCTTAAATACACAATAACAATGCAATAGTAAATAGTATATAAAAAATGTTTTATATTTATCATTTTAGGACTTAGAAGTTCGTTGTGCTAAGGTATCAAAGATAAAAGAACTCGGTTTTAAATACTTTTTACATGACATTAAAGGATCAGAAGATATAATTAAGTAATACAATTTATAAACAAATTATAAATAATAAGTATTATATTAATAAAAAATATACATTTAATATTTAGAATGAATACAACATCAGGATGTCTTTTAAGAATTGCTTGAACAACAATTTGTCTTACATTTAGAATGGAATAATTTTACTTTAATTTATTTTTGGGTATTGTATTGAAAAATTAAAAATATATAAAGGTATTGAATAAAATAATACAAACTGAAACAGATTCTTTGATAATTTATTTAAAAATTCAAGATTATATTACATGTTAACATTTATTCAATCCGACTCTGTCTCTTGGTATAAGCCTCAGATCTGCTCCATGTTTTAGAAAAATAACTCCCGCTGTCTGTTGTGGGTTTATACCAATACCATCATCTGTAATTATAGCTGATGTTTCGGACGACACTTTAAACTCTTCAGCTGCAAATTTTAAAACTGCTGTGAATGGAGCCGCTTCTGGTACTCTAAGTATTTTAAACGGCAGTTTTGGATCCGATGTTAAAGTTATTTTGAATCCTACTGTTTGAACAGAATCTCCCATTTTGTATAGTTAGTACAGCACACAAGTTAAAAACTTACAATTAACAAGATTTGATTGACATTTATAGCCAGTCAAATATAATAATTAATATTGTGCAAGTGCCTTGCCTTTCACAATTTTTTTGTCATCTATATAGTCGATTATCATAAAATTAATATCTTATCACCGCTGATGTGGTGTTCAGGGTTTCTCAAAGTGTATTATCACACATAACTACGTGTTTGTTTCTGAGTTCATACATATTATTTGTTAACTTTAACACTTGGCAGTTTTTTAAATTCTATTAACAWTATTTTAGGCAATATGTATTTGCGAATAATAAAAAATATCCAAGTGGCAATTATATAAATTGTATATTATTCTGTTTCAGTTATAAATTAACTATTGATAAAATATGGGAAACATTCAACATAACAATTTTAACAGTATAATTGCATTATAATGTAAAATTTAATGTCAATAATATTGTTTAGTTTAAAAATTTGCAAATTTTCTAATTAATTACTATGACTAAACCCTTCAAAACAGACGAATAAGAAATACATTTTGAAAATGAGAGCTCATGTAATGACGTTGGCCAACAGCATTATTGGTGTTAGTATACTTGCTATGCCATTTTGTTATAAAGAGGTAAACATGAAATTGTATTATAATTTAATAAAAGTATATAACTAATGTATACCTTTATATTTTTTTGTGTATATAGTGTGGAATAGTACTTTCAACATTGTTATTGGTGTTAAGTAATTTTATGTCGAGAGCCTCTTGTCATTTTCTATTAAAATCTGCTATTAAATCGAGGACACGAGATTTTGAATTCCTAGGTAAGTATCTACGTCTATTTTTACAAAATTTGATTTTAATAGATGGTATTATTTATTTCAGCATTCCATTTATTTGGAAAATTAGGGAAAGTCACTGTTGAGTTGAGCATTATAATGTTTCTCATGGGGACCTGTATTGCATTTTTTGTTGTTATGGGTGATTTAGGACCACAGATTATTGGCGACACATTTAACATAAAAAATACTTCAGCCCTTCGTCCAAGCATTATGATTGGTAAAAAAATTTTAGGATATTAAAAATATTAATGTAATATATGTTATGATTATTTAAATGCCCTTTGGCTTGATTAACATTATGCAGTTGCTTTTAATTTTTTATATTAATACAAATTATTTATAGGTTTAGCTGTATTTGTAGTGTTGCCGTTGGGGTTATTACGTAATGTTAATAGTTTAAATACAATTTGTACAGCAGCAATAATATTTTATGCTTGTTTAGTATTTAAGGTATGTTTTTAGAATAAATAAATACATTTTCCGATGTTAATTAAATTTTTGATGATATGATTTATATTTTCAGATTTTCATTGAAGCTTTTGACAAACTTTTCTCTTCTGTTTGGTTTTCAGAAATATATTTTTGGAAGCCAGTTGGTCTTTTCCAATGTTTACCAATATTTTCAATGTCTCTATTTTGTCAAACGTAAGAATTGAAAATTATTTTGAAWTCCATAATAATCAATATGATTTAGTTAAATTGTAATACACATCTAACTCAAAAATGTTATTTCATTAAGAGTTTCTCGATTATGAACCATGGTCAAAAAATATTTTATCCTATTTAAAATTTTAGAAAATATATTGATTATAATATTATGTATTTTATAAAAGCTATTAAAGTAGCCATGCTGACTTAAGAGATATGTACGTTGATTGTCCAATTAAACTGAAATTAATTAACAATWATGTTAGAGGATTTYAGTGCACTATTTGTTTTCTCTCTCTGACCCATACTCAACATAGAAAAAAAGCAATTACGTAGAATCATTTTTCTGTGTTTTTAAGTAACCTTAGAGTAAAATCATCTATTACATAAAAGTTAGAGAATAATATTTTTAAGGGAATGACATTTGTCTTAAAACAATTGTAACATCATTTAAATCAGTGGCTCCCAACCTCTCCTATGTTACGCCCCTCCTTTGTAGAACCTTGCAAAATCTTGCACCCCTCTTATAAATTGTTAAAAGTCGATCACCTTTTTTGGTGTACTTTATATATAAACTATCTATATTCTATATTCTATACAATATTCGGAATGAMAACTTTTTTTATTGATGATAATAATTATGAAATATAAATAATAGTAAATAATAAAATGTAAAAATCAATTAAGGTGAAATATTATAGTAATAAATTAGTATAAAATATTAATAATAAATTAAAAAAATACATAATGAAATTAATAATTAATGTTAATGCTGACAACACTTTTCTTTGGACAGTTTTTTTATGTTTGGTTCAATATTTCATAGAGAACACCTTAATGCTGCGTTCCCACGAGGCGTTAATCATGACAGTCAACCACGCTAGTCAACTTTCGTTCGTGACACTCACAAAAGTGTGAATTGATGAAATGCTTCACGAACAGTATATCACGACTGAAAATCAAACACGTTTGATCTATCCACGCTTGAGTTGTGTGCCGTTCCTCACGAAAAAGAAAGTTTAACGACTATGCGTTCACACTGAAGTGTATTTCACGAAAGCGTGGTTAACGCCTCGTGGGAACGCAGCATAAGTCAGGTGTGACATCTAAACGATTTCTATGTTTGTTTTTTATAACTTCCATGCTGGAGAACCCAGATTTATATATTCACAATCTTATTTAATATTTTCTGTGGAGCCATTATTTTTAAGTATGTACACTCGGGACGACTATGTACTACRACACCAGTGCTCTATGCAACTGCAAAACGAAACTAAATCGAGTCTAAACTCATCTAATAGCTTTTTCCCTGACAACCTTTTATCATGCTAATTAATTTACAGATAATGTGACATAAAACGATTAAGTTACATGATGCGGCCAAACATTTATAATCTTTATCGGTTATCCATTATTGATACTCGATTAACAGATAAAAATTTCTGGTCAAAAATTTTTTTCTCTAAGTTTTAAAATAAAAATTGTATTTTGTAATAACTGCTTGCACCTCCCCAGCAATGTGTACATGTCCCTCCCCCCCAGTTTGGGAACCAGTGATTAAAATTTACAAAATTTTTTTGTTTATTTTGATAGTCGAATACAAAATACAATAACAATAAAATATAATATTGATATATTGTCACTCTCTCAAAAATTGTATTCCCTCTCTTTTTTGCAATGGGTGATGTTACTCTAAGATTACTTAAAAACATGGAAAAAAATGATTCTGCGTTAATGCATTTTGAGTAAGCTGTGCATGGGCTAAAGTGAGAATACAAATAGTGCGCTGACATCTTCTTAATAAATTTTAAAATTTAATACTTATAAAATATGACTACATAAATTTTAAATAAAATAAAGAATTTAAATAAATCTTTGAAATACACTTTTGACTCAATATTTATCTCTTATAAAATAATTAAAATAATTCGTTTATAATTTATGTATATTTTACTTATTTTTACAATTTTGAGCATAAATCTTTTTACAATTACCAATTATTTGAAATATTTTCATTCAGTATTGACAGTATTAKTTCATTAATTATAATAAGTTACTACATTTTTTGATAGTTTTTTGAAATAAATTAATAATTATTTAATCAAATTATAAAATTTTATGATTAACAGACAGTTGTTTGACATATTTGAAACAATTACAAATGAATCATTGGATAAATTAAATGCCGTAATACGCTCATCAATGAATATGTGCACTAGTGTTTACATTAGTGTTGGAATTTTTGGATATATTGCACATTACGACTCAGTATTAACAGGTAAAACATTTTATTTAGTTAATCATAAATAATAGTTTGTAACAAAAAATCAGAATTTTCTGACCACATACAATTATTGTTATTTTTTCTAAACGTTTTTGACTTTCCACAAAAATTACATGACCATTTAATTGCACCTTTGGACTTTTTTATTGTACGGCATGTTACAGTTTTTCCTGGTATTAGCATGGTATCACAACCCTTACAGATATTTCTTTTAATTTCTGGATCAATTTTTAGTAAACTTTTTTGAGATAACCCTTTCATTATAGAGTTATATGTTGATGATAATCCAGGACATTGTTCAGCCAGGGCTGTACTTAATTGATATAAATAATTAATCCGATTTTGGGTTATTTCTATATTGAATTCTTGTTTTTTCTTCTCCAGTTTCGTCATATTAATACAGTATTTAACATCTGTAACCTGAAACATTTATTTATGTTAGTTAGTTAAGTGTGAATTATTAATAAGTAATAATAATATATACAATTTATTTCTTCAATAGTTCAATACTTTAAATACTTATACTTACTTCTATGATTCGGTGTTGTATAATTACTATCAATTAATATTTCGTGATATTCTTCACATTTATTTTTATTCCTACTTCATTGATCTAAATATTCTAATTTGTTATTTTTTTCGTTAACAATACAATTCTGTGATAAAATATAAAACTGTTTTCATGTTATCTAGTAGTTATCAGTGTTGCCAACAAAAGGTTTTGAACATTTTTTAAATCATTTATACAAATTTATATATATATATTGTGTATGTGTTGTACTATTTGTATTTCAAATTTAAACATATTGTTGCTTAATATATATATTAATTTTATATTATTATATTATTTATTTGTATCATCATATTTGTTAACTTGTTGTGCATATTAATTCAAATAAATATTTGATTTTAATTTCATATTATTTACAGGGAACATTCTTACTAGTTTTTCGCAATGCCTGTCCAGTGACATAATTAAAATTGGTTTTGTTATGTCTATTGCTGTTAGTTTTCCTCTAGTCATATTTCCATGTCGTTCATCAATATACTCTCTACTTGCTACAAAAGTAAGATTACAATTCTGATAACAACATGATTTACTATTAATTTTAAATGATGTATAATTTATATAATTTTAAATTTGTTTTATTTAGGATTATGTACTCGTATCTGGTGGAAGGCAACATATTGCAGAAACCCCCTTCAAATGCATAACATTTTTTATAGTACTTTTTTCCTTAGTTACCGGTCTATTAATGCCTAATATTGAAGTTGTATTGGGATTAATTGGATCCACCATAGGTGTTATGATAAATGTTATGTTTCCTTCTATGTTTTTAGTACGTGTGGCAAATAAGAGTCCCAAAGAAAGGTTTTGGGCTAGAGTAAGTGTGTCAACTTTTATTGTTAACTGTAATTAATATTATCGTTTTTAGTAATATTAATTATGCATATTCTTTTTTCCAGTTCATATTTTTTGTWGGTATTTTCATTATGGTAATGGGAACTTCGGCTAATCTTTATGCTATACATCAAACATTTTCAAATATGAAAACAGTTCATAGAGGTAAAGTARAAATGAAGACATTATATTTACTGATTTGATAGATAACAAATTGTATAAAAACAAAAACAAATATGACAGCAGTCATTTATTCATTTAATTTATTATTAGTTGATTAGTTTCAAACTACTCACATTTCAATTTAAAAAAAAATTTTATTTCAAAACGTTTCTACTAACCACTTTATTTGTTGTATAAATGCATAATACATAATTTAAATATATAAATACTTGTAATAATTAAACTATAAAATGCATTTTGTATGATGAAATATACCTTGGATATTTTAGAAAATCGTAATGAAAGAGTTCAGCACTTCTCCAAGACTTGCCATTGTTTCATAGTTTTAGATTCTGAGCGGAGCGATTTTTTTTGTGTCTGTCATCACGTTTTGGGGCAGTAAAAGTGCTTTGATTTTTTACTTCAGTACCTCATTGGATCAGAATGTGAATCTAGTTGGTACTTTGGGGGATCAAAAGTGAAAAATTCTTAATACTTTTCTAAATAATCGAGAAAAACAAATTAAAAATAATGTAAAAACGGGAAGTTTTACGCACACTCATTTTTCGAAAAAATCGATTTTGGTTACAAATGACCATAAATACATGAAATTTTCACCGAATGTTTATATAAGTCCACCATGCAATTTTCAAAAAATTTCGACTAAGTTGAACTATTCATAGGCATTTTAA